GAATTAAGTGATTTACACAATACTGTTACACTATTACAGTATTCTGTACCTGTCTATATATCTATCTTTACCAGTTAACGTTGCATTTTCATATTTTTGTATTGCTGATTAGTATCTTTCAACTTGATGGATTCACTTTAGCATTTCTTGAAAGGCAGCTCTGGTGATGATCTCCTTCTGCTTTTGTTTGTTTAGGAAACTCTCTATTTCTCATTTTTCAAGGCCAGTTTTGCCAGAGAGTATTCTAGGTTGGTCGATTCTTTTCTTTCAGTGCTTTTTTTTTTTTTTTTTTTTTTTTTTTTGAGATGGAGTCTTGCTCTGTCACCAGGCAAGAATGCAGTAGTGTGATCTTGGCTCATTGCAACCTCCACCTCCTGGGTTCAAGTGATTCTCCTGTGTCAGCTCCCAAGTAGCTGGGAACAGACATGTGCTACCATGTCCAGCTAACTTTTGTACTTTTATGTTGAGATGGGGTTTCACCATGTAGGCCAGGATGGTCTTGATCTCTTGACCTTGTGATCCTCCCCCTCGGCCTCCCAAAGTGCTGGAATTACAGGCGTGAGTCACTGCACCAGGTCTTCTTTCAGCACTTTTAATAAATTATCCCATTCTTTTTTGTTCTTCATGGTTTCTGCTAAGAAATCCATTGCTAATCTTATAGGAGTGTCTTTGTATGTGATGAACTGCTTTTCTCTTGTCGCTTTCAAAATTCTCTTTTTGACTTTTAACAATTTGATTATAATGTGCTTCAGTGTGGATTTCTTTGGGTTAATCTTATTTAGGCCTATTGGGCTTCTTGGATCTGTAGTCCATTTTCTCCCTTAGATTTGAGAAGTTTTCAGCCATTATTTCTTTAAATCAGCTCCCCAACCCTTCTCTTTCTCGGACTGCTATAATACATATATTGGTCCATTTGATGGTGTCCAATAAGTCTCTCAGGCTTTCTTCACTTATTTTCTTTGTTGTTATTTTTGTTGTTCCTTTTTGCTCCTCTGGATAATTTCAAATGACCTGTAACTGAATTACTGATTGTTTCTTCTGCTTGATCGAGTGTGCGGTTGAGCCCTTCTTGTTAATTTTTTACTTCAGTTATTATATTCTTCAGCTCCAAAATTTCTATTTGGTTCCTTTTAACATCTTCTATCTTTATTTAACTTCTCATTGGTTCATGCATCGCTTTACTGAACTCATTGAGCATCAATATGATGGTTATTTATCATTTTTTTGTCGGATAATTCATATACCTCTGTTTCTCTAGGCTCAGTTTCTGGAGATTTATTTTGTTTTTGACTTGATCATTTTCCCTGTTTCTTCGTATTTCTTAGAACTTTGTGTTGGTATCTGCATATTAAAAAACAAAACAAACAAACAAAAAAAACCAGCCACTTCTTCCAGTCTTTAGTAGCTGGCTTTGTACTGGGAAAGATTTCACCTATCAGCCTGGCTAAAAATTCTGGGGACCACTCAAACATTTTCTGTGGATACATTTTCTCTGGACTAGTGCACATAGATTCCTAATTAAAGAGATTTTCTGGCTTCTCTTTTTTACAAGCTCATAATCTCTTGTTCCCTCTGTTGTTTATTTTCTATAGTGTGTGTCCTCCAAAGTAGCAGCACACTGTCCAGCTCTTTTTTTGTTCTTGGCAGCCCCTAGTCTTCTAGAGTACATTAGACCTTCTCTGCCTTAAGTTGAGCTACACAGAAACCAGTCCCTTTGGCAGTCCCCCGAAAAGCGAGAATTCTTGACACATGTTTTATTCTTTTCTTGCCCTCCTGAAGAAGAGGGCACTGAGCTGCATTGGCCTCTGCTGCACTGTAGGTCCTTGAAATAGCATCATGCTGTTCAGCTCTTTGGTTTCTTTTCATGGGGCCTCAGGCATCTAGAGTTTGCTAGTGATTCAAGACAGGCAAGAAATAAACCAATCCTATGGACTCTCCCCATTTCCCCGAAAAGCTGGAATACTGGTTGCATGCTTTTACTCTTCTCCATGCCCCCTAGGGACAGGCCACTGAACTATATCGGTCTGTATATGCTGTAGCAAGAACCCTCTAGGACAGCAATATGTCACCCAGTGTTTTTTTGTTCTAGTGTCTCACAGGCAACTAGAGTATGGTGGGTCCCATTAGCTCTCTAAGATAGGTGAGACAGAGGCTAGTCCCTCAGGCAGCCCCCCCAAAAAGTCAAAACTTTTTTTTTTTTTGAGATGGAGTCTCGCTTCTTTGCTCCAGCTGGAATGCAATGATGTGATCTCGGCTCACTGCAACCTCCGCCTCCTGGGTTCAAGCAATTCTCCTGTTTCAGCCTCCCAAGTAGCTGGGATTACAGGCATGTGACGGCATGCCCGGCTAATTTCTGTGTTTTTAGTAGAGATTGGGTTTTACCATGTTGGCCAGGCTGGTCTTAAACTCCTGACCTCAAGTGATCCACCCACCTCAACCTCCCAAAGTACTGGGACTACAGGCTTGAGCCACTGGGCCTGGCCAAAAACTCAGAACTTTGGATGTATGGTCTTGTCTTCTCATTTCTTCTTCAGGGAGAAATCAAGAACTGGGAATTTTCTCCTAACCATGTGGCACTGTGCCAAGAGGACAGACTATAGTGAGGGTTTGCCGTGAATTTTCCTACTGGCTTCAGTGCAGCTAGTTTTTTGCTCACCTAGTGTGATGGAGCCTCTTAGCCAGCTTCTGAATTTCTCACGAAAGGAATTGGCCTGCGTATTGTTGTTAAATCAGTGTCTCTGTGGGAGGGAGCAGAGGTGGGGGTTTCTTATTCTGCCATCTTGCTGACGTTTCACTGTGGTTTTGATTTGCATTTCCCTAAGGACTAGTGGTTTTGAGCATCTTTTCATGTGAGTATTGGCCATTTGTATATTTTCTTTGAAGAAATGTCTGTTCAACTCCTTTGCCTACTTTTTAATGTTTCTTGTTTCTTCTGCAAAGTTGTAGGAGTTTTTTTTCTTTTTTTATAATATATTCTGGATATTAATCCCTAAACATTTATTGTTTTGAGCAAATGAGGTTTGAGACAATTTGTTATACAGTAATGGATAACTAATAAATACTAAAAACTCCTAAATATATATACTAAATATATTAATTAGAAAATTATAATATAAAAATATTAAAAGCTAAAGTTGTCTGATATTAGGAAGATAATTCTACTACAGTGTATACCTTTTGTGTGTGTGTGAGACAAGGTCTCATTATGTTGCCCAGGATGGTCTCAAACTCCTGGGCTCAAGCAGTCTTCCCACCTCAGCCTCCTGAGTAGCCAGGATTACAGGTGTGTGCCATTGCAGCCAGCTTTTACAGTGTACGCTTGGTGTACTATTAATGTACCATTTAATGACCATGAAAAATTTATGATAACAGGAGAAAATGTTTATGCTGTCTTAAATAAAAATTTGAGTGTATACATTGATACCAAGAAACTGAAATTTGACTGTATACGTATATACCAAGAAACTGAAAAATGACATTCCATACCTTTAATATTTAATATTTATAACAAATGAGGTTTACATGGATTTTTTAATCTCATCTTATTTTTGATGTGTCATGTAGTTATAAATACTATTTTATTTGCACTCCTGCTCTCCAATAATTTTGAAGATAGATTATTTTTTATTATTGCTATCCTCATTTTTTAAAATTCTCAAATGCAGATGAAATTATCAAAGTTGGTAAAATAATAATTGTTCTAGCTTCTTATCTGAAGATTAATAATGTGTTGATTTTGTTTCCTTGCTCTAGTTAGCAGTGATGTCATCTGTTATTTTTAAACTTCGTTAAAATAATATACGTAATCTACTTCTAATAAGCTTCTCCTAATTAGCACATTGGTCTAAACTAATTTACAATCATTTAGGCTTATTTCTACATGTTTAACTTGCTTAAGGCTCAGCACTAGTGTTTTCAGTCATGGCTTCTCCATTTTAAGGCTTTCTGTTTTAATTCATTTCTTATTTTTCTGGAATATATCCTTAAATAATTTATTTAGGAAGGCTGTCTTGGTGGTGGTATTTCTGTTGCAGTTATTGTTTTCTTGCCTGCTTGATGACATATTTCTATTGACGATACTTAACTGATATCTCATCTAGGTAGATAATGCTAACTCAAAATTCTCCAGATATTTTTCTGTTTTTTTTTTTTGGTTGTTGTTGTTGTTTTGGTTTGGTTTTTTTGCCACTTAGGGTTGAATAAGATGCCAAGTTGGTTTTTGTTTCTCTCTAGTCATCCTATGTTTTCATTTTGTTTTTAGCTTTGTCTTTGGAATTTAAAATGTTCACAATGATTTACCTGGATGAGAGTCAATTTTCATAAATTTTGCTTTGATATACAAAACAGTTTGAGTTTCTAGATGATGCCCGTTTTAGTTCATACAAGGAAATATCTTCTAGTATAGTTTCTGCTTCATTAATTCTATGTTTGTCTCTTAGGGACATCTATTAATTTTATAATGCTGTCTTTTTTTCAGACTTCTGTTTCAGAATATTCTCTTTCATCGGTTTAATCCTTGGCTAGCATAGGAATAAAATAATAAAAGCAGTGGTTTCTGTTTGCCCTCCTTGGTTATGCAGTCCGCACAGGAGAACATTTCCCTGCCCCCCACCCCTACCTCAGCTCAGTGAAACTTCTACACCTTGGTTGTGGAAATTGGAAGGGGTGGATAACTACTCACTCCCAATCCACATCCGTAATAAATTACTTTTTATCATCTTACCAAAAATCTGTAGAATGTCCCTTTATTCTATTTTGAAGTTGCAGAGGTTTGTTTTCTCTTTGTAATTATTTTATTTTGTAGGTTTTTGAGGGAATTTCAAGAGGGGAGAGTTTTTTAGTCAGGCTCATCTTAATGTTATGTCTGGAGCTCAAGCCACTGAATTATATATTTTGTAATACATTTAGACCTACATCACTGAATTGAAACTGCAAGGAAAGAGTTAAATTTATTCCTCAAGTGTGGTCAAAATCTGTAGAGAAAAGAGGAACAGCTTCTATTAAAGAAAGTTAGCTGGGTAGGTATACAGTCATTGCCGAGGAAGGCTTGCACAGAGCGACAGTTTTGCCTCTCTGCTGCTATAAGGGACTAGCACAGATACACGGACAAGTGGGGCCATTTCCAGATATTAGGTCACACCAGAAGCAGCCAAGATGGATCCCCTGTGGTGAGTGATAATGCTTATTCTTTGCAGAGAAGTTATGAGTTGTGACCACAGTGAAAGGCTGAGGTTGAAGATGGTGCTTTGATGTGTGTCCTCCACTTAGTTCTAAACGGAGAAACTTTTTTTTTGTACAATAGATCTTTGCCACATGAAAGTGAGAATTATTTGCAATGCCCAAAGCAGTTTATTGGTGGTGGTTATCTGTATATTTTTAGGTGCCTACTTTTTGTTTTGTAAATTTGTTATTCAAATACTGAATATTAGAGTCATTGATTTTAAGTGAAGAATCAGGAATTTAAAAAATATCTGCGTAAGAATGACAAATGACAGGGAATGAGTTTTTTGTCTACCAGGGTCAGTTTGGTCTGAGGGTGGAGGAATAAGATAGAGAAGGTAGAGGGAGAGAGACCCAGAAAAAGAAAGAGAAAAAAGAGGTATAAGGAGAAAATGCAAAACTCAGTTAATGTGTCATGGTCAGGCCATGGGAGATTCTGAGCAGGGTGGGGTAGTGAAATGAGGTAGAGTACTTCAATTAGCTACTGTGTATTGAAACATGCATGCTGTGCTGTGTACTTTACTTATGTTATTTCACTGAATTTTATTCTTCACAATGACTTTTGGAAAGATATCATCATTCTGTTTGACAGATGAGGTAACTGTGGCTTACAGAGGCTAAATAACTTGCCCAAGGTCACACTGTTAATAAGGCGTAGAGCTAAAATCTTTCCTGTCTGCTTTGCTAAGCACCAGAAAGTTTCTCCTTGCTGTGGAGACTTCCTGGAAGGAGTCATATCCGCCCTTCTCTTGGATGGTGGCAGCTGGCGCCAGTCACTATGTATTTATAATTACTCTTCTTTGAAAACTGAAGTAACTTTCATCTACTCAGTGCTTACTGGTTTGAGAAACAGCCTTGTTGCTTTCATTTTGGAAAACTAAAATTTAATTTTCAAGTAACAATTCCTTTTACTCCAATGGAATTTTTAAATCTTATACTTGTATGAAGAAAAAAAGAATTTTGGAATTAATAACTTCCGTGGAGCCATAGAGGGGATACTACTTAATTATGCTAGCACTGCCTGTAGAGGTCTAAAGAACCACAGGCTGTTGTCTTTATTGTTCTTGTTAAGATTCTTCCTGTTCACGGTGCCTGAAGATTGGTCATGAACCAATAATAGCCATTAAACAATGTTTACTCTCATAAATGAATTAAATGCAAATTTAAACAACAGTGAAGTATCGTTGTTTTTCTCTATCAGAAAAGTAAATATTAAAATTTAAAAAACAAACAAGGGCCAGGCACAGTGGCTCAGGCCTTTAATCCCAGCACTTTGGGAGGCCAAGGTGGGAAAATCACAAGGTCAGGAGTTTGAGACCATCCTGGCCTACATGGTGAAACCCCATCTCTACTAAAAACTCAAAAAAAATTAGCTGGGCATGGTGGCACGTGCCTGTAGTCCTAGCTACTCAGGAGGTTGAGGCCAGAGAATCACTTGAACCCAGGAGGCAGAGGTTGCAGTGAGCCGAGATCTGCCACTGCACCCCTTCCCCCAGAGACAGAGTGAGATTCCATCTCAAAAAAAAAAAAAAAAAAAAAAAAAAGGAAGCAAGCAAGAATCCTCCTTCTTGCTAAGAAGGGAGGATTGTTTATACCCTAGTCGCCCACTAACGGGATATCATCTTTCTGGGCAATAATCTAGCAATACATATCAAAAGCCCTTAAAGTATATATGACCTTTAACCAAGTCATTCACCTTTTAGGAATTTATTCTAAGACATAATAATGCATGTTCGTAAAGTTTTAGTGAAGGATATTTTTCTTGCTATTGTTTCTAATATGGAAAATCTTAGAAACAACCTATGTTTAAAAACAAGCGATAGACTAATTATGGGACATCCATAATGGAATGCCATGTAATTATTTAAAATTCCATTGTAGAACAATTCATAATGTATTTAGTTAAAGAAGAAAAATGCAGAATGAATAGTGCTGCTACTTTTATACAATGTTACATGTATACAAACAATGTCAATTGGAAATATAGGTAGTTTGCATTTTCTACTGTGTGCTTTTGAAGTTGAATCCCATCTGCAGGCAGAAAAATAAAGCTAAATATTTAAGAGAAAGAAAAACACAACAGCTGGTTTTTCTCAGAGAAGCAACCATCTAGTGGTGTGTGATCATACGCAAGTTGCAACATCTATAGTTGGGCTTTAGCCCTTTGCATTTATCTTTTTCATCTCTTGACTCTTCTTCAAAATACACCCCCTCTACCCATAACTTATTAGATCTTGAAAGGCATGTTTTGATAGAATTTTATATTTAGAGCAGGCTGGAGCACTCTTCCTTTATTTTACAGACATGATTGCATGGCTCTCTAGGGTGAGTTGCATATTGAAAGGGAGGAGAGTGCAGTGGCTAAGTGGCCACACATTGAAACCAGGCTGCTGGGTTTTGAATTCCAGTTCCCCAACTTCCAAGCTATGTGATTTTGGACCAAGTTGCTTAACCACTGTAATTCCCAGTTTCTTGTCTGTAAAATGGGAGCATGGTAATATGTTGTAAAGTAGTGGTGAGATTTTAATGTGCTTAGAACTTTGTCCTGCTAAGTACTCAGGAATTGTTAGTAGTTTTTATTACTATTGCTGTTTGGATTAAGAAATAGAGGAAAAGTGATTTGTCCAGGATACAACCACTTAATAGCATTACTAGGAGCAGAATGGAGGAAGGTTTTTTTCCATCAGAAATGTTCAGTATCCTCTGAGCCTGGCAGCACAACCCCAGGTTGTCCTTCTGGGGTGGAGGAGCTGATCTGAAACAAGCAGTACCCAAGGACAAGTCCAGCCTTTAGGGAGTGACTGATCACAGTGGGAAGCCAAGTGGTAGAAAGGCAGGTGAGGCTAAGGAAATCGAGAGTCAAGTTAGAAGCAGGAATGAAGCCTGGAGCAAAGAGCTAGTGCAAGAGAGAACAGATGACTCAGAAACCGTGGGGCTTTTGTAGGCCACCAGCTATGGGCTTCATGGTAGGTCAATGTGGTTTAAAGTCTCAAGGCCTGGGTGATTAAATAGATAAATGGGGTCTAGGTGCACGGGGGAACTGCAAGTATAGCTTTGAGAAGACGTCTAATGGATAGTAATAATAGATGATGAAGCTAGGTGAGGCCACTGCAAGGAGCCCAGAACCAAGGCATCCAGCTATAATCGTCCTAAAGGAACAGCCTAAGTTTGAAGAATCAAAACAAGTAGAGACATAACAGAGAATTACGTAAAAAAGTCATCTGGCAGGCTGGGCACGGTGGCTCACGCCTGTAATCCCAGCACTCTGGGAGGCTGGGGTAGGCAGAATACGAGGTCAGGAGTTCGAGAGCAGCCTGACCAACATAGTGAAGCCCTGTCCCTACTAAAAATACAAAAATTAGCTGGGCATGGTGGCATGTGCCCTAGGAGGCTGAGGCAGGAGAATCACTTGAACCCAGGAGGCAGAGGTTGTAGTGAGCTGCAATCGCGCCACTGCACTCCAGCCTGGGCAACAGAGCAAGACTCTTGTCTCAAAAAAAAAAAAAAATCATCTGGCAGAAGAATGATAACTGATTTGGAGTGATAAGGAGAGCATTTTAAAAACTACTGGAATAAGCCAAGGAGAAATGATGAGGGCATGAGACCAGGGCAGTTATGGTGGGATCAGAGAGGAAACGATACATTTAAGAGATATTTAAGCACCTTAATGGACAGAATTTGGTTTTTGAGAGATGTAGACACTGGGAGGGAAGGAGAGGTCTAAGTGCATAGTGTAATCCTTCACAAAATGGAAGGTACAGGAAGTGGAGTGGGTTTGGGCCGGGCAGAGAGAGAGGACAGCTGGTGAATTCCTTCTCTGTTATGTTGAGTTTGAGGGGCCTGTGGAGCAGCTGGATGGAGATAACCAAGTAGAAGAGTAGATATTTAGGTGCAAGTTCAAAAAACAGGTGTGACCTGGAATGCACATGAAGAGTCTTCTGAATAAGTACAGTTGATAGTTGAAATTCTCATTGTGGGTGAATTCAGTAGCAGAGAGGATGGAGGATTGAGAGGAAACCAAGGACAGAACCAGGAAATCCTTGACATTTAAGGAGGGAGATGAGGAAGAAGAATCTACAACAGATACTGAGGAGGAGCTATAGATACTGGAGCAGCCCAGGAGAAAAGTGATATCATATAAATCAAGTGGTCTTGTAGTCCCAGCTACTCAGGAGGCTGAAGCACAAGAATCACTTGAAACTAGGAGGTGGAGGTTGCAGTGAGCTGAGATCATGCCACTGCACTCCAGCACGGTGACAGAGCGAGACTCCATCTCAAAAAAAAAAAAAAAAAAAAAAAAAAAAAGAAAGAAAAAAAAAGAAAGTAAAAGGAAAAAATCAAGTGGGGAGATGGATGCAAGAAAGAGGAGACTGCATTCATGGAAAGAGCATATTTATCAAGCTTCCATGCTGAGCACATGAGATGTGACATGAAAGGTGACTCTAGTCACTAAGTGTTAAGCTTTCAATTGTGGCTCCCTCAAAATTCATATGTTGAGGTCCTAACTCCCAGGACCTCAAGATTTGACCACATTTGGAGAGAGGGTCTTTACAGAAATAATAAAATTAAAATGAGGTCATTAAGGTGGGTCCTAATCCAAGACAATTGTTTTGCTTATTGTAAGGAGAGGAAACAAGCAGAGGGGAAGCCGTGTGAAGACACAGGGAGAAGACAGCCATCTACATACAAGCCAGGGAGAAAGGCTCGCAACAGACCCTTTCCTCACAACCCTCAGAAAGAACCAACCCTGTGGATACCCTAAGTTTGGACTTCTGGCTTCCAGAAAAAAAATAAATTTCTATTGCTTAAGCCACCCCAGTTTGTGGTACTTTGTTACCACAGCCCCTGCAAACTAATACACTTGGTTGAGAGTGCATACAGCCAGAAAAAGAAGCTGTGAATAAGTACATCAGAGAGGAGGGAAAGACACCAAAACAGGGTTAGGTCA